CTAAAGTCTCCTTTGCAGAGTCTCGTCTGACTTGAAGCAAGCGGTAGCGGGTTTGAGACCCGCCCAGTAGAAATCAGCTCTAAAGAAAACAAAAGCAATTGCCGCATGAAAAACAGTAAAGATGTCGGCAAGGAACTGACAAGGGGCATGCATGTTTGTATAAAAATGGAGAGAAAGGTTTGCGTATGAATCTGATACCGTAAGCGTTGGAAACAGCTTATGCCGCAGCCGATAGCATGATAAGCTGTACGAGATCATGTGATAGCGTCTACTCTTGCAAGGACATGAAGTCCGAATGAATAAGAGCGTCCAAGCTTTGAAATATTCGATAGGTGGGAACAGAGGAAAAAAAAGATTTTTCCATTCCTTTACAAAGATCAGGTGGTGGAGGTCCTGGCTGTAATTGATATTTTCAATTGGTTGTTAACTCGGCTATGATCGTGTAAGCGGTAACTACGCCTGTAAGCAAAGCAAATAGAATATCCTCTTAAAATTCCCCAAAAAAGTAGGCCGTCATTTTTTCTCCAACTCCATTAATCGGAGCTTCTCTGATCCTTTAAGCTATTGCCAATGCTGCTCATTTCAGCTTCAATTTATTTCTGTTTCATGGTGTCCCTACTTCATTGGAAATCTGTGTAATTTCTTGGGATTTTCATAGCTGCCCAATAAGGATTTCGTCAGTCATTCATCATTCATGTCACAGTTGAGTTTTCGGACTATTGTGGTCGAGTCAGAATTAGGTCTGTTTCAGTAGTTCTCATTCTTTAAGGTCAATTGTTGTTTCTGAGTTTGACTTAAAGCAGTGCGTTCAGTCGATCTCTCCTTGGTAATGTGTGTCAATTTCCTGCCATAGATAATTTATTGACGGCAACTATCGAGTTAAATACCATAAAAAATACATTTTGACACTTTTGGGTTTCTCAGATGGGGCAGGAGAGAGACAGACAGAGAGAGAGAGGCAGTGGAAAAGTGGGTGAGATAGAGTTATAAGGGAAAAGAATAATGAATGAAAGCTGTAAGAAGAGAAAGTAGCAAGTAAGTCAGACGACAAATAGAGACCATCCCAAACAGTAAGTCGGTTAATAAGTAATTCATCACATGGACAAACGCAATTGCAAATCCGCGCTAAAAACATGGCAATGAAATTAAAATTGCAGGCAAAGTAGAAAAGCAAACTGAACAAAAAACTTTAGTTGTCAAATGCCGCCATAGGACACAGGAGGCAATAACAATTACTACCAAGGCGACTTCAAGGTGACAACTGACTACTGACAACAGACAGCTGTTGCTAACAGCGACAGGAACTAGCCAAGGGCTCATGCTCATATGCGGCTGCGAGAATACAAGACGAAGCCATGACAACAGAGGCAGGCAGGTGGCGAAGAGTTTATTAATCAAAAACAATTTTAACAGTCAACAATGTGCCTTTAAATGGAAGTTTGACTGCTTGCTAGTGGCGTTTGCGTAGCGCTCGTTGGGCACACTCGCACTTGCGTAGCCACTTCACTCGTTGAAGCACATTATTTACGTCACCTTCTGTAATTAAGATGTGACACCAACAACAACGCAACCTACCATGTTGCGCATTGGTGGAACAAAAACACAAAAAATAGCCCATTTAGGTGCCTATCGGCTTTTTCTTCTCAGTTTTTCTCAATCGACTTACAAAGAAGAAATGAAATAAATTTAGATTTGAGCTATCACACGCAACTTGTTAGGCTTCAGAAGTGGAATGTCCCCACCAAGTATGTATTAACAACTCAATAATCTATAAGAACATAAATCAAAGCGCTTCTAAACTGGCGGATGGCTCCATCGGGAGCACTCTTCTACATAAACTGTTTACCTGCAGAATCATGGCTCCAGTAGCGAGTTCAACTTCTTTCTTTAAATCCTGAATCGTCTTTGGCTGGCTGACGTTGCTATTACCCTCAACGACTTCCGACTAAAATTAGTCCAGCGAAGCCAAAATTCGATTGCAACATTGGTTTGTGGCACGCAGCGTCATCCTTGTGAAACAACACTTCGTCAATGTCGTTCAATATATGGAAAGAAATCATTTCGGAGCCAATGAACCAATGATTCCACCGACCTACATGTCTCTTCAAAAATGGCTTTTCCATGGTGACATGTTGGTTGTATAAGCCCTGTGAGATGAGTGAGGTTTATTGAAGAATGATTTGATTTCGATTGCTGTATGAGCTCACTTTGAAAATAAATGAAAAACGAATTAAAAAAAAAATTAATTTGAGACTACAAATGAAAAGTAATTTTTTTAAATTTTCCAATTTTCCAACTTTTACTCAGGAAAAATACGATCCACAACAAACAACCTCTAAAAAATGCATCAAGATTGGTCCAGCCGTTCTCGAGCCTTAGCGTCACTAACAAAGAAATATTCATTTTTATACATATGTATATGTATTAAGATATACATATGTAGATTATTTAAACATTGCTAAAAAAATTTTCGAAATCGCAAGACTAAATCATAAGCCCCCCTACAGCAGGTGCGAGGTCAGTTATGAGCTTTCGGGTAAGAAATCCGGCAAATTGAGTATGAATTTCAATATCCCACACACATAAACTCAAGTGAATATTCACACTGAAAATCATCAAAATTCATTTTTGTATTTTACAAAGAATTTTTTGTATTTATCTTACGGTATTAATTTTTAAATTAAATTAACACACATCGCTCATTCGGTTTATATCTTGATAATCTCGGTTATTTGACTTATTTTATCTTCAGATTCTATTTCAATGCTTATTTAAGATATTTGGCTTGTAGTATTTAAAAAACGTGTTGCAAGATACTTCGAACACCGTCAGAGAACTTATACTAACTCTATAATTATTCTCAGTTCTCTGCTCTGCATCGTGGTTGTTAGTTCGCTTCGAACATGTTGGTTGCCACCCAGCAAACACAATATAAGACGATATCAGTTTTCTATTATTATTTCAGGTAGCAGCGTAATTATTTTTTACAGCTATACTCGCACTTCAAAGAAGACCAGCTGTATTGAAGACTAACCCGTTTTTATAGATTAGCTGTGATATTCTTATGTCATATGTATCAAATTAGCGCACAGTATCTTGGTGCCAGGTGATCTGAATGGTGTTGTTGTTGTAGTCGCAAAAATAATCCTCTAGGTAATTTTTGAGAATGTTGCAGAAGTGACGGTCCTTTCCCGAATAAAAATACTGGTCGTTCTGGTATAAAGACCGGACTGTTGCGAAAACTATTGGATATTAGTCGCTACTTACATCGGGCAGGCTTTGAGAAGATTCGAGTTGATGTGGTTGCTGATAGCGAAGGAGCGTTATTATACTGCTGGGGTGGACTTCTGACTTTCTCAGATGTATTAACCTGATGAACGATGCGATATTGCCTCTGCCAGCTATTGCTACGCCAGCCAGCCAGTCAAAAAAGTAATGTTCTTGATACTTATGTCTTATAAAGATGCTTGGGTCTTGACAGTGACAGAGGCAGAGCTCGACAGGCTCTTTTTCTTCCACTTTTATGCAGCTTCGAAAAAACTCTTACGAATTGATCAAGTTGTTTCTTAAATCTTGAAATGTTCTGCCGTGATCAGCTTGTTTTAGGGAGTGATATATTCGATAAAATACTCCTCTCAATAAGTGTGTCAGGGTTGAATCAAACTAAGTAGGAGTTAAGCATGCTGAATGTATTAAGATTTTAATTACACCTGTATTACAAAGGTCTCACAAGCCGAGTCCTGACAGACTCTCTGTGACTGGTGTTTAGGCTCGTAAAGTAGTTCATAATGTTCTGTGGCTCAGAAGGTCAAGTACTCCCTTCCTGCGCCTGGGCTCATGCCGCAGGTGTCTACGAAAATGATCGCTCTGGTAGCTACTATTTGCGCAACAGAACATTACTGTTTTTGTTATTCTTGTACCGATTCGCTGGCGCCTTAGGGAGCGGGCAAGATCAGTCTAAGTCATCGAAGTCATCTAACGGGTGGTCCATAAAACAAGCTCTTTCGACATTTACGGATCAGAGAGAAAGGGAGGGTGAGATGAGTTGGTTTTAAGTGGCATGCAAAGAGGTGGTTATCGCCGTGCGGGTACTAAGAGCATGCAGGACATACGCTGGATATGTTGGGATCAAGTCTGGATAGGTACGAGTATAGTCGATTACAGCATCTCGATTTGGTTAGTGTCGTGCGGAGACTCTCCACATGCAGGGCATACGTTGGGTATGCTAGGGTCTACTCTGGATAGTTAGGTTTAAGTCTAGTACTCCCTTCCTGAAGTGCCTTGGTTGGTGTTCAGCCTCTATTAGGTGCCTACTGGGGTACTCCCAGATAAGCCGTACTGTCCAGCAGTTATTGTAAGTGATGCTCAATGCAGTCCTTGAGTGTTCCCCTATTTGATGTACTCGGCAACACTTCTCGCTAGTCTCCGACACCCAAATCGGTGCACTAAAGGTTACGATGATTGTCGACCACTTTGTTAGCAGTAGTGGTACTGTGCACTTTACAGAAGCCATGCTGATGTGCTGCTGCCCTCAGATGGTGTGCGAAAGTTGGGAGCAGCAAAAACTCTCACGACAGTCGGTTTTTTAAACCTATGTTGACCCTGATTTCATCCGGCCAAGTGCTGTCACCCTTTTGGCGACCTAACCCTATTTGGATCAACAGTTACATCACCGCTTTCGTGGGCTGATGATCCACCGACGATTTTCTTACGGGTCCTGCTCAGTCCCTTGTCAAATATTAAGCCTGGAAATATTGCCTCAGGCGCCAGTCTTGCATGCTATCCTAACAACAATGTTGCCAATCTTGTTGTTGGCCTTGTTTCGCTCACACTTTCAAATTAAAGTATAAATATTTACCTAATTTAATAGACTAATTACAACAATAAGCTCACACTTTAACTTTTTATAAACTCAGGCAAACGCAACACTTCTCACCGAGATAAGATAATGCAAGAGCAGTGGCAAAATGATTTAAAGCCGTGACATCTTACGCTTATTTCTAGTTCTAGTGTGACTACGAGCGGAATCACTAAAGTGAATTTAGAAAATAATAAAAATAAAAGTAAAGTCGTGAAAAACTTTAAGATGTCTAAACTCCTTGTGCGCAGTGTAAGTTCTAAGTTTCTCTTGAACTTTTATTTCATTGTCATTAGATTTCATTTTAGTGTCCACCCCACGCACTCCTTCTCCTGCTACTACTTCTATGCGCCAAATGTCTGAAGGTCACCGCCATTTGCAACACGTGCAACAGCGTTACCAACTTGGCTTGCGTCTCCACCACACAATTCCAAGTCTGCATCAACGGCTTACCCACCGGATCTGCAACGAGCTGTCCTACGGGTTATATCTGCTCGACAGCGTCGACGAGCATTTGTGCGCCGAGCAGTGGTCAGAATGTAGTGGGCGATTGCACCGCATGCAACACCTGTGATTCCACACTGACTTTCGCCTGCACCGGCGTACGCACATATGCGCTGTGTCTGGGCAGTGCCACACCGAGTGATTTGACGGGCAGTTGTGAGCCATATCATATTTGTAGCATTGATTATGAGTTCATTTGTGGCAATGCAACGGAGGGTGTGAGTGTGAGATAATGTATATTTGTAAACAAAAATATTTTCGTTGAAATATTTTTTCTTTTGAACTCCTTCAGGTCACGCCGACTTGTGCCAGTACGGAAACTACCGAAACTACGACGGCAGTTAGTACAACAACAACGACTGATGCGTCGATTGTGACAAATCCCGTTACATATTGTCAAACGCTACAACAAAATGGTCGCTTTCCAGTCGGCAATGATCTTACAACAACATGCAAACAGTTAGTTTCTTGGAGCTTTTTCACATTTTTCTATTTTTGTTTTGTTAAACCTTTTCTTATGCTATTCTTTAGGTATGTCTACTGCTTCATAAATAATGCTGTTTGGTCTGGTGCTCTCTATTATTGTCCAGGCGCCACTTATTTTGACAGCAACACCCGTTATTGTACAGCGAATGTGCCGCAACGCTGCACAAGCACTACACAAACACTGTCGCTGAGGGACGCCGAGTTGGATTTCTACTGAGCTGACGGAGTAGGGTGTGGGAGAAGGAAAGATGGAGAGAGGGGGAGAGAGAGAGAGATTGAGAGAGAAGGATGGAGAGAGAGAGAGTGATGGAGAGAGCGATAGAAAATTAGACAGATAAGAATGGAGGGAAATAGAGTTAGAGTGTGAGGTAATTTCTACGCATACGGAAATATCCAGAGAGCACTTAGATTTATGTCGTCTATTGAAGACAGTAGATATAATAAATGATTCGACTTAATGTTTAAATATTTACATATATACAATGTTGATACAAACCTAGTTCAATTAAAAAAATACTAGGTTACCAAATAAATCTATTAAGTCTTTCCACTTGCAATGCTGGAAAATCTCTTTTTTCGTCTCTCTTGCCTTATCTTAAACTTGTCTGGGACATCTTCCATACGAAGACTGTTTTAGCTCGAGGCAAACTGAACCTTCTTTTATCATTGCAAAGGACCATTAAGTCTATAAAAGGTATAACGGCCAGCCAGTATATCCTAACCTAATCTGTTAGCTAATATGGTGGGATAGGCTGAAGAAAGAGATGAAAACACCTTACCTGCTGAAATTAAGGAAGGGGCGAGTTCGGGAGATTTTTCGCTTAAAGATAAGCCACGTTCAGGGCGGCTAAGTGAAGTTGGTGATGACGATATTAAGGTTTTAATCGCATCTGGCAGTCTTGTAACTGAGCGTGAGATTTTAGCGAAGTTAAGTATACCAAAATTAACCGTTCATAATCATAAACGAAGTCTTGGTAAAAAAAACTTGAAAACATAAATTGAAAGAAGTTCATTTAAAAAGCCGCTTCAACGCAATTAATATGATCCGGGTTTGAAGCAAATCATAACTGGAGATGAAAAATGGTTTGTTTACAAAGACGTCAATCGAAAACGATCCTGGACCAAGCATGACGAAGCGCCACGAGCCACTTCAAAGGCTAATATTCATCAAAAAAAGATTATGCTGTCAGTTCGGTGGGATTGAAAGGGTGTGGTATATTTTGAGCTGCTTCCAATGAACCAAAGGATTACTTCGGATTTCGTTGAGTACAACGAGGAGCGGCCGGCATTGGTCAATCGTAAGGATGTCATATTCCACCAGGACATTGCTAGATCGCACACATCTTTGTTCACTCGCCAAAAACTGAGAGAGCTTGTTTGGGCGCTGTTGGCGCATCCATCATATAGCCCTGATCTTTTGGTCTTTTACAGAACTTATTAAATTGTAAAACCTTCAAAAATGACGAGGCTATAAAATCGTTCAACTGAAACAGTTTGCAGATAAAGGCCAGAAGATGAGGACTTTATTTTTAGACTACCGAATCAGTTCAAAATAATGACTATTGATAAGAGTAGTTCTGCGTTATGCCCGAAATTTTCCACGTTTTCAAAACAATAGTTTACTGCCGGGCCTATCCGCCTGTTTTCCTCATCATCACTCTGCAGAAATTGAAATTGTTATTGGGACTACTTTTATCATCGAGTATGTCCTTATCTGCTTATCTCTCCACTCCCATTCTTTTCTCCAGCATTAGATTTAAGAAGTTACACGATAGCTTGTCTGACATTCTAAAATCTCGTTTAGTATCGAACGGCACGAAGAGGTCCTTTCCGATGTTTGGAAGCCCTATAAGTTTGCAGATGAGAGTACCTAATTCAAGCAATGCAACATAGAGACCACTTCTTTTGTGCAATCGACAAAGAGGTGGTATTTGCTGCTCCTTTTCTCGGACAAACCAAGTCAGTGAGGTGAAATCCATTACAAATTCAATCGATGATTAAACGGTTTTCCGTGCAGCTTGTGCAGTCCTCTTTCTTTAAGGATTGTATATAGCACATTTCGTTTCAATCATCAGCCATTCGACCAAATTTTGTAAAAAAGCAGACACATGCGATCTCTCTCTGCGCCACCTGTAAGACAGCCTTGTTTTGACTTAATCTTAATGGCGGCCGCGGTAGCTGAGTTGCCATTGCGCACTGTCATTCGGAAGGCTCGGGTTCGTATCCCAGTGCATCCAACATCCAAAATGTTATGGAAAGCTAATTTAAACCTCCGAGTGTATTTCGGACATGAAGTAAAAACTCCTCATAAGAAGACCATCAGCCGTTCGTTCTTAGTACAAACTGTAGGTCCCTCCATCGGAGGAGGAGCTCGGCCAAAAATCGCTTCGGCTTTAACAAAGCGCCAAATACATATATTGGTAAAGTAAAAGAAAAAACTTTGTTTACATTTGTCCGATTTAGCTCAATGCCGTTTGTTCGTAAACTTGTTGCCAACTTCATTTTACCCTTCTAGTAGAAGGCTGCGTCCCTATTGGCAAACAAACTCGGACAGCCAATTTTCACAGGCCTCTCTTGAGGCCGAATTCTCACCATTAAGCGTATTCGCCATTGACAGAAAAAGACGATAATCACTTAGTGCCAGGTCCGGACTATAAGATAGGTACATTAGGACCTCCCATCCGAGCTCCTGGAACTTCTGGCGCGTCACCAAAGGCGTGTGTGGCTTGGCGCTGTCCTGATGGAACACATCTCGGCCGCTGTTGATCAAAGATGGCCTCTTCTAGATGAGTGCTACCATCAAGCGGTCCAAATGGTTCCAAACGCTTTTCTGGCTTATCTTTAGTACCTCAGCAATTAAATAAGTGCTCACGTGATGGTTTGTTTCCACATTTTCTCCGCATTAAGTTGTTTTTTCAGATATTCGAATTTATGCAAGAATCCTGTATTTTGGGCTGGCGCTTATGGCTCGCTTTCCAACTTGCCTTAAAAATGGACAGATATTTCGAGAACTAACACTTGAAAGAAAGTTAAATCAAAGCATGGTTTTTAAGGTGGAAGTTATCGCATTTCATGCAACGGACGGGGCGGACTCACTTTTTCGGCTATTTCGGCATCTGAACCCACTCGCATGTTGAGTTAATTCGAAACATTTAAAACGTATATGGAACCATAACTCCGCAACTGTCGCATCAGATCAGGTCCCCAGCGTATAACTGTCATCTACTTTTAAGCAGTTAAATCTTAAAAAAGCGCAACGAGCTGAAGGCGAGTACTTTCGCATGCGTGGTTACGAGTTTCCGAACACCTAAGGCTTACTGCAGATGGTCATGGAACTCGCACATAAGTTGGAAGCTATGAACGCCATACCTAAACTACTGAGCACTTATTTAGCTTACCTTAACCTGCTGTTCGGGAAGAACACATAATCTTACAACAAAAATTAGAGACCGACTTTTATCCAAGCCACCAAGTAAGAGTAGGAACCTGGGATACTTCCGGAACGCTGTAATAAAGAATACTTCTTCCTGTTAGTGCGGATCTAGTTCCTTCTACCCACCCCCAGCACGAATGAGAGGTCAGCAGTCGTGACGAGGGCATCCAAAAGTACTAGGACCCAAGTAATAGAAGTATGTGTAATATTAAAAATTGCTTCACTTTAATCAAATTCAAATACAGTATGCTGGCTTGTACATTGTGCAGGCCTTGTTTTCCAAACTGAAGTAAGTGTTGGAAGGGCAGGAGTACTCGGTACCTCGGCTGCCGCGACAGTGAATATATCTGAAATAATAAAAATCAAAAATAATTACGCACTGTAGAGGGCAGATAGATAAGTACTTACTGCTTGCAATACGGATCGTGTGGCATGGTCGGATAGAGACCATTTAGCGCTTGTAGTGCACAAACCTCGTTCGGTGTTAGCGGATATGTTGGTGTTGTCTGCGTAGACGAAGTTGTTGTGCTCACCGTGGTTGTGCTCTCTGTGGTTGTAGTTGAAGTTGTCGACTCTGTTGGATCAACTACATCACAAGTTATTGTAGACTGTGTTGCAGCATTTACGCAGATTGCATCACTTGTTGCATCACAAACGAAACCACTCGGGCAATATCCCACCTGTCCGGTGGGATGTAGACCACCATAGCACATTTGGAATGTGGTGCGACTCAGGCAGGCGAAAAGTGCATTTGCCTGTGCTGTACACTGACCGCAGAGTGATGTTGAGCCACAACTGGGCGGTCGTGTTGCACTCGCCTGCAGACAGATGGCGTTAAATTCGGTGCATTCGAAACCTTCCTTGCAGTGATACAGCACATCCATATTTGGGCTGGTGTCTGGTGGAGAAAATTGGAGTAATGTTAAAACCAGTCAAAGAGATGTAAGATTCATCAAAGCTTACCACCAAAGCAGAGGTAGAAGGATGTTGAATTAATACAAGCAACTTGATTTGTCTGGCACACGTTACACTCCGCAGACGTTGAGCCGATGAGTAGGTAAATGCAGAGTATCGCCTGTGAATAGATAAGGTTCAAAGAAAATAGAATGAAGGAACATTAAGGGTGGATTCATCAGCTTAACTAATGAAAGTGTAGTTGAGTGGCAGCACGCTTGCCGGCTGTAATTACGTTAGTGCTTGATCTAATCCACCTATTGTGGAATAATTCTTCTCTACCTGTACTATGCGAAAGAATACTCTCAAAGGGCTCGCATTTTATCAGCGCACCTGCAGACCCAGTAGATCCCTCATTCACACCCACTCTGCTCCGCATTCTAGAAAATAACCATAAGAAAAGGATCGACACACACTTGGGATGTTTTCCCCAAAAATAAAAGAACCTACTGTTTCTTCTAAGCAGCCTCCGAACGACCGATGGATTTTTATGTCGAGCATTTATTTCACATCAAAAATATATTCGGAGAGCTCGGCCTTCACTGCCGAGTGGCCTGTTTCTGGGTGAGCAGTTGCATCTTCGTCGCATGTCCTGGATACGAAAACCAACTCTTTTGAAGCCTTAGGTCAATACTTAAACAGAGTGAGCCTTAGTCGAGACAATACGGATATACTCGACTTAACTCGGTCCTAAGACAAGTGGCTAAGTATATAAATGGGTTTTTTAAATTATGCCCGCCTCGAGGTCGTGAGATTCATTAATAAAAAAAGTCTTGGCCCCAATTTTAACGAAAATAAATGCAAACGTACCTTTGATTATGGCTTAAGGGAAGCTTCTGAAAAGCCCGGTTCTTTAATCGAAAAGATGCCGCTACCCAACTATTTGATATTCTCCCTAAAAGTAAAGCTCATAAGCCGCTATTCAAGAAACGCATCGGACGAGACAAAAAAAAGAATAAAGTAAGTCTTCGTACCCTTTACTACAGGTCAGGAGGGTATAAGGAGAGGAAATATTGTTGAATTTGTAGTAAGAGCCACAATCGTTCCACATCGTTCGACTATGATTTTTTTTGCCGCAATTCGGATTATAGCTAGATCTTTTAACATAACGCTGATTGGTACCTATAATACGATGGGATAGAAGTACGATTTGTCAAAATGTGTCTCCTATACTTCTATGAGCCCATTGAAAGCAACTAAGAGTGCTGCCCAGCCGCGATGCTTGCCAGGGTGCGCAAAAGGGGTAATTTTATTACAACAGCCTTAAAATTCAGCCTACGCGAGGATAAATCCTCAAAAAAGCAGAGACTGATTGACTTCACTGGGGCCAGGAATAAGGTTGTCTGTAGTACGAGATACCGGCTTAAGCTCCGTGACTCAGGATTGAAAAACTCATACCATATTGGTATAGGCAGATGAAATATCTCCAATATTCTAGATATGCGTACGCTGCGAGGACTCTGATGATCACTAACTCGTGGCAGTGAAGATACACACTCGCCTCTGTGCAGTTTATAACGTCCGTCAACAAATACATCAGACAGCCAAACGCTCTTTTACTTGATTTACATTACTGCTCCCTCAGAGAGCACTCATCAGCAACTCGTTATAAGAGCACTATGGTGTAGCATTTCAAGCTCTGTACGTACACCGAAGACAACTGGTACGATGAAGATTTGTTGTAACTCTGTGGAGCGACAGCTTAACGGTTTTAGTCACCAACAATGCAAAAAACTGCCATAAAATAATTCTCACTAGTCGTTTAAGGCAGCATTCACTTAATGTTGCTTACACTAGACCTCCCGTGTTACCGAATTGTAGGTTTTAGAAACGGGCAATGCCCTACGCATTTCATTCACTCTTCTTAATTTATATATGTGTGTGTGTTTTCTCGTACATTTCATTTGACATACTTGCACAAAAATTATTAGCCATTTCTTTCCACTACACTCCATCTTGGCTCACAATTTCTTTTTCAAAATTTTATTTTGAATTCAATAAATTTCTCAGATTTACTGAATCCCCAGATTGCTTTTAATTTTGTTTTTCCTCTTCTTCTTGAGCACCTTTCTCGGCCGAAAACGACGTAAGAACTGTTGGCTCAATGAACTTTCCGTATGATTTTAAGCGACTTTCAATATTCTTTCTGGTGGCTGGTTATTATTTAAAAACCGTTATTTTCACTACATATTTTTCTATGTTCCTTTGCTTACGTATTTTTTTTTATTTTTTTATTTTTTGTGGCTTTACTATCATTTTTGGTGTTAATTGCCTTGTTGACACTTCTAATTTAACTCTTTAAAGAGTAAAGCCAGTAACCTAAGCCAAATAATTTAGATTACATATGAATTTAGTATAAGTAGGTATGTGTACTAGGGTGGTCGAAAATACATTTTCAAAGCTACCAGAAATGGTGAGAGACAGTATGGAATGGTTTTAAAAATTTGGCGCTGAAAAAATGCGCTCGGAATAAAAAAGCGTGCTTCTGGACTTTAATTTAACAATATATTTAAAAATATTTTTCAAAACTTTTTTTCAAAATATATTTCACAATTATTTGCAAATTTTGTTTTCGTTTTTTTCCAATTTTTTTTCAATTTTTTTTTTAAATTTTTTCCAATTGGTTTATTTTTGGTTACGTGAAAGATTTTAAATTTGTTAAATTTTTGAGATTAAAATTGTTTGCTATTTTTTTAAATTTTTTTTAAAACATTTTTCATTTTTCCATAACCTTTTTAGAATTTTTTTTCTATATGTTTTTCGAATTTTTTCGAAATTTATTGAAAAATTTTTCGAATTCGTCAATTCAATAGGTGTTTTTAATCTTTCCTATTTCTTTTTTATTTATTACTAATTTAATGATTTTTTTTTTAATTTTAAAAAATTTTTTGTTTTTTTTTTTGCTATTTGAAAAATTTTGAAATCGTTAAATTTTTCCTTTTTTTTGCATTTGGTTTAGTTTTATAGAATTTTTTTTATTAATCTTTTCAAAACTTTTTTCAAATTTTTTTATATTTTTTTTTAATTTCTTATTTCTTATTATATTATAGATTTTTAATTTGCTAAATTTTTTATTTTAAAGAGTATTGAAATTATTTTTTCAAAATTGTAAATTGTGAAGATTTTAGTTTTTTATAATTTTAAAAATTTTTTGTTTTTTTTTTGCTATTTGAAAAATAATTTTTTTTTACTAATTTTTTCAAAACTTTTTTCGAATTTTTTTCTACTTATATAAAAAAAATTTCTAATTTATTATTTCTTATTATATTATAGATTTTTGATTTGTTAAATTTCTTATTTTAAAGAGTATTGAAATTATTTTTTCAAAAATGTAATTTAATAGTAATTTTATGGATTAAAATATAATAATAATGTTTTTATTTTTTGTTTTTTAATTTTTTTCAAAACTTTTTTTTCGAATTTTTGTCTTCTTTTTTCAAATTTTTTTCTTATAACACATTAAGCTAATCGCATCATCGAATCTATCCCATCGATCCTGCCCCCCTAAAGAAAATGTCTTTCCGAAGTTGATAAAATGTTTTCAAATCGTACGATAAATACGGATTATCGAACAGATCGACCCCGGAACCATATCCGAAAGAGCAAGTATTACCAATATTTAATTTAGGCCCAAAGCTACTTGAATACATTGAAATTTTTGTTCCTGGCCTAATTTCCGGAAGAAAAGTGTTTACTTCTCATGTCAACTTAGGCAAAGAACTACCTTTGTTCTTGTAAGTCGAAAGATTTAAAAATAAATTAGACATTCTTGAATTGATCGATACCACATTCTGAGTAATTTTTTCTTACGCAAAATACATCTTCCAAGTATCTGCTCTCCAAGTTCAGTGGATAAGGCTGTGAGTTGAAGCGTCAGTCTTATAATCTTAATAACTAAAAAAGGGTTTTCCCAATAGGCCGTGTTCTTTTCAATATCCTGCAATTCCGGTAGATGTCACTTTTGAAGCTGTGATTTTTTGTCATTTGACAAGCAAAAACTCCAACAGTAATGAAATTGAAACGATACCCGCCTCAACAGCGCATTGAAATTATGAAAATTTACTATAAAAATGGTAAGAACCCTACAGGGAAGGTTTCCAGTCGTCGTGAAGCATCTTGTCGGACCACAAGACAGAGGTTGGTGGGAAAAATGAAGCTGTTGGGAAAAGTTGTAGATGTGATGTACACGCTCATGGACGAACCGAAAATATTGCTGCTGTAGCCCAAAGTGTTGAAGAAAATCCAGGTTTGTCCATTCCTTAAAAAAATCGTAATTCCACTTCGATTTACTTGAATGAATCCGATTTCAATGCGAATGTGTTATTTATTCTTTACAGCAAAGCGATCAGCCACAAAAATTAATAGGATTTTGATATAACGCACGATCTAGCGTAGGTATGTAAGAGCAGTCCATATATATGTACGTTCAAGTTGAGTGTGAATATGCATAGATCCGAATGGGTCGTTTGGCTTTCTTCCAGGCTTTCATTTTGACATTTCCGTGAAAGATTTTGAGCAGCAAAGAAGATCAATAATATAATGAATAAAATATACTATTTTGACTTAGATGATGCTTGAAAACCTCTCATTTCAGTGCTCTCTGCAAGACATATTAGTAAAAGAGTTGGACAAAGTATACATAGAAAACCACAGCAATTTGTGACCGGATCTGCTGGTATATAAATAAATGTATAATTTATAATAAACCGTCCATCCTCTTGCACTTTCCAGTTCTACATTCTTTGAGTGGGTGTAAAATAGACTTTTGAGTCGCCTCAAAAGACATGGTTAACATGACAACAACAAATCAAACATGAGTTCCACTCACACATACATATGTACCTACAAAGGTGTTAACTACAAAAATATATACATATATATATTGTCCGCTTTATTGGCGGAGCATTCAAGTTCTTAAAATTTGTGGTGAAGAAAAATTTGTTTCTTCTTTTATTAAAATTAAGATAAAATTTAAGAATTATCTAATTGTTTATGCAGATAATTTTGTGGACTGCCTGCGCATAAGTATGAAGTAATCGCTGCTTTTTCGGTATAAATAAATATAAGTGCCTGTATTTATTTACATTTATTGAAGTAAAAGCGTAATCTCAGAAGCTGTATGTACAAATGTACATACATACACGTGTTTTATGCCAAAAAGTATTTTTTTCCTGTGAAATTTCTGTTCTAAGAATTTATTCATCTTTTTTTTATTTATTTATTTATTTTTGTAGCAATATATACAGATTTTCCTCTCAAAAATATTTGTTATTAATAAATTCTTTTCTTTTTTATCTCAGCAACATTTTTTCTTTTACAACAACACCCAAAAAATATTTTCATTTAAGAAGGATATTCCTTCTCGTAGCTTAGTCTTCCCAAAAAAACTTTTTTTCCAACAATATGTTTTATGTCTCAGTAAGATTTTTTCCCCCGAATTTTTTTTTTTAGCAAAATGTACTGAGAAATATTTTTCTCCTACAAAAAAAGTTTTCTTAAGACTTTTCTTATTTTAGAAATTATTTTTTTCCAGTATTGTTTTCAAACATTATTTTCTTAGCGCGTATACAATTTTATTTAGTAATATTTAATATTTTAGTTTAGTAATCCTTTTTTGTTAGCAAAATTTCCTTATCATTATATTTTCTTAACAACTCTTTCCTTTTCTTAATAACATTTTCCTTCTAGCAGCATACTCGCTTGACAATATTTTCCTCTCTACAAACAACACCTTATTCTTAGCAAAATTTCTCTCTCTAGCCACATTTCCTTCCACCAACATTTTGTTGTTAGCAAAATTTCCTCTCCGGCCATTTCCTTCCAGCAACAGAAATATTTCTCTTCGAGCAACATTTGCTTCCTTACAACCTTTCGATCTCGAGCCACATTTCCTTCTAGCAACATTTTTTACTTAACAACATTTTCCTCATAGAAATATTTTTCTTCTAGCAACATTTATCTCTTAGCACTAAATTCCATTTTAGAAGCTTTTATTTCCCAATAACAATATTCACCACTAGCAACATTTTTCTCTAGGAAACATTTACCTCATCTTAAATTTATTCAAACTTTAATTAGTTAATTGATTAATTCATTAAAATCAGTTCGGTTTAGAGAATTTTTTTTTTAATAATTTTTGATATTTTTTTCCCACCAACAACTTTTTCTCAGCAACATATTCTCCTTAGCAATCTTTCCTCTTTAAAAACAAATTACCTCTAACAACAAGTTTTCTTCACTAAAAATTTTTCGTGGGAATTTTTTTTCAACGTTTCCTTCCTATCCAGATTTCTTTCATGGCAAAAATTGTATACTCTGAATTTGTTTTTTTTTTTTTCAAAAACAACATTGAATTTTGAGCAACATTTTTTCTTCGTTAACTGGGTATCGTTTCACAGACACTTAATGACATAACGTCTCAATTGTTTGTTGACCAGACGCTTGAGAAGATGGTGCTCTAAAGTTTTGTCACGCTCTGGTCTTAGCCGTCCTACAGTCTAAGCACTACAGAGCCTTAAGTGTTCTTTCATGGTCCATTACTTTAGTCAACATTTGAAAGCGCTGAGGGGTCTGCGACAATTTACGGTGAGAGTCTAGACAGCGTCCGCCTTTTTATTGCCTTGCATACGTGTCCTCTAAAACCTTATGTTTCCCTCGATAGTCTGTTGATTGGCTTAATAGATTTTACCATTAAAGTAGTTGTCCATTCGCCAACTTTAATTATGCCTAAAATCATTGCTTGGTATACAGAGTTATAGTCGTTGAGTTTGAAGTTTCCTCGGTTATTGTAGTGGTAACAAAAGAACTCTGCTCCCGTGTGTGCCTCGCATTAAGAGCAATCAGTATAGATGTGGATATTTTCACTATTACGAATGGGGTTGCCTTAAGCTTAACCTTCCTTGCTAGAAAAGGATCATCCTGCAGGATAGCCAGATTTCTGTTATACTCTTTTGGACTAAATTTTAGGACATTTTTCGGTTGCTAACTGTTAGTGCCTTGCTCTGTACGAAGTAGACAGGTACGTTACACCTGTTTGCTATAGTAATTTCTTTTATAGACGTCCATAGTTCCGGAATTCCATATGTTGGTGTGGGCTATACACTGTATGAAGTCATAGCGCTCATTTTGGCACAATAGATAACTCTTCTCCAAATTTGGAGCTCTCTACTGGTTTTGCTTTCAAAATATTCGCTCTCCTTCAAGAGTTTTACGGAAATACTTGATTGAATTGGATGATGATATAATATAACTTTATAACGATGGTGGGATTCTGCCTTGAGAAATTCTAGGTTTTACAGAAACCATACTGTCACTAAACCAAATTAGCCATGGCTTCAATAACATCGGCATAACATAAGAGTACCAATTTTAAAGTCTCCGCTGCAAGCTGTTGGAGTAATTATTTTCCCAAAGTGATCCGCAATAGTCAGAGGTAAGTGGCCCCTTGTGCAGTGTCACATGTGACTTTGTGAATGATTTTGAGCAATTTCTTCGTCGCAAATAGCTCAGCTGCTGCTGGACATGTGCCTCAACCAGGCAAGTAAATTCTGCCTGATTCCAAATTAGGCAACTGGATGACTAATGTAGTGGCTTTCGCCCCATGAAAGCCCCATCCACGGCAGAAATAACATCTTCCGTTTATAAAGGGGGATGTTATTTTGTATTCTATTCTGGTAGATGACACTTTTGAAGTTGTAGTTTTTTGACACTTGACAATATAAAAATGGTGCAAAAGTTACAGGGACGGTTCGTAAAACTTAAACATTTCTTAGTCATCATAAAACACCTTTCCGGACCGCAAGACAGAGCTTGGTGAAAAAAATGGAGCTGCTAGGACAAGTTAGTGAAGTGAAGAATAAAAGACGTGCACATCGCTCAGGCTGTAGCCGAAAGTGTTGAAGGAAACCCAGGTTTGTGCATTCACCGTAATTATTTGGAATTGGGCAATCCTCAAAGTTCATTACACCGTATTTTGCAACAAAACTTGGATCTTAAATCTTAGAAACTTCTGTTAACACTAGAACTCAAGCCGACTTAGCATCCATGATGTCGTGTCTTTGCTGAATGGGTTCTTAAAATACATAAAAATGATCCCCAATTTCGATGAAAAATTATCGTGACTGATGCGACTCATTTCCACCTTAATGGCTAGGTCAATAAGTTTCTCCATTCTCAACGTGTAACTTGTAATGGAAAAGTTTGCGGACCGTGTTATCTCTCAAAGAGGTGATCGCAATTGGCCACCGATATCTTATCTGCCTTTGGTGCCACTTGAAATATAAGATCTATGCCAACAGGCCAACGTTCGTTCAAGAACTTAAATATAGAGTTTATGAAGCTATTGAGGGTGTATAGCAGCCACTAGGCGATTTTGTAATGGAGCGTTACATAAAAATGATACGATCCTGTATGCAAAACCAAGGCGGCCATTTGACTATCATTGCTTTTCCTTATTAATGGCATACCATCCTCTTTACGAGCTGTCAGCATGACAACCGCTCCGGACATATTGGCTGTTTCATCCAATCGTTGAAGGTCCTTTCCATAATATGCTACGGATTGAATGCTAGACTGATGAAATGATAAGTTCTCGGTGCAGGATAGCCTTCCCTGCAAATTTTTTCTCCCAATATTTGTTTTTTAATTTCACCAAACCGATTTTTTCACTACAACATTTTGTAAGCAAACCCTTTTTCTCAGTTTTTCCCAAGTTTCTAGGTAGAGTATGAGACAATGAAAGAATACTTTTAATAATAAAAACGATTTTCATCGAAAATAAAATGACAAATTTGATTTATTTATTGATTTTTCCTTATAATCCTTATATGTTTTAGACACAACCAACCGGTTTGTTGGTTTGACAATTTCTTATTTCTGGATTGAAATATTTACCCAATGGGCATTGCCTTATGCGTCCAGTTAGACCAGAACCAGAGCCGTTGCTTGAGCAATACAAATAACTGAGTGGGAAAAAGAAATTTCAATATCATTCAAACATAATTCCAAGCACCCACCTGACACAACTGCTATCAGCGGAATTGGGATAACGACCGATTAGTGTTTGACCTGAGCAATATGCCTCCGGCGATTGAGTGGGCGCCGAGGTCACACTTACGGTAGTATCGACCGGAGGAACTATAGTGACTGGTGGTGTGGGTTGAATTATTACCGTTGTGCCGGTGGTCTCGCTGGTTGTTGGCGCATCCACGGCCAACTCTACATCACACATATCATTTGCGTCTGTTAAGCATTCATTTACACAAGGCACACTGCCACTGTGCCCCACCGAAGTACGGCATACTGCACCCAGCGGGCAGGTACCTCTTATGCTGGTGAGAGCATTATTCATGCACATGGTGAATGTGGTGCGACTGGTGCAAGTGTAGGCACCATTTGCCACATCTGAGCATTGACCACATTGCTGTGTGTTGCCACAGACGGTTTGTACATTTGAATTGGCGCTGGGATCCATGCAAATCTGTCCATATACTGTACATACCTCTGCCTCGTTGGGACACACATATTCAACGTTGGAGTTTGGTAGACCTATGATCGATGTTATATAATGCTATTTGTACTTATGGGAAGTTTTTTCTTACCGTTAAAACAGAGTTGGAATGTGTTGTTGCTAGTGCAGGCAACGCCATTGCTATTACAAACAAAACAAGCTGCCTCGATCTCAGGTAGCGCCACTAAGCAAAATGACACAAATAAGCAAATTTTTATCAACATCTTCGGAGCTCCTAATCTACCGCGTTAAAATGTTTCACTAAATGCTCGCACTTGGAAGCTACTGCTTTATGTTTGATATAAAGCGTTAACCTCTTCACAGCCATGAGGCGCTATGGCACATACAAATTTATATCTAATTGTCAATTTGTCACTGTTGAGGTGATTTTAGGCCAAGCTAGTCCCCCAGTTTATGGTGTGGGTCTTGTAGTTTAACCAATAAATGGTGAAATCTTCAGTCTATTCTAAATCGCCTCCGAAGGGCCGATGGATTTTTTTATGAGGAGCTTCATTTGATGTCAGAAATACACTCGCAGGGGTGGACATTCCCTGCCAATGGGCGACCGCAATTAGAAAAATGAATTTGCTATCATTTTAGTTAATTGGTCAGAACCTGACCATCCGGTTAACCACTCTGCTACTGCGGGCGCCAAATATAGTTTCAGAAAAAAGTTTTAGTGAAACCTTTAACCCTCCATTCGCCAAAGTAATATTGATGTTTTCCGGTATACTTAAGACAGGACTCCAAAATCAAGCTCACGCAGTTGACATATTTGAATATTTTTCTGTCTTTCTGTCGTCAATTTTTCTCTCTATTTCCCTCTCTATTTTCTTAGCACTAAGAGGGTTAAGTGCTTTAGATTTATTTCTATGCCGGCCAATGTCGACTGATAACAAATAACAGATAATCAGATGAAAATAAGAAAATGTTTCACAGAGGCAGCTGTGATGCCGATTTTTTCGTAATATCTTAGGTCAAGTAAAAAGTTCGTTCGGTTTTAATATAAGTTATTGTCCATAATACTAGTGCTATGTGCCGCACCATGCCATACAATAAGGCGCTGAAAATGTCTTTATTCGCGCTAAAAGTTTGTCTTTCACAATTTTTCGATTGATTGACTCAGTATGTTGTGAGCGCTCGTCAAAGATGGACACCAGCAAAGAGAAAATTCGCTAAATTTTACAATTTTTCTTCGATCAAGACGAAAAAGCGGCCAAAGCAGATGAAAAAAGTAGTTTAGTTTATGGGCTCGATACTGTAAACGAACCTCTAGCACAAAAGTGGTTTGCTGGGTTCCGTTCCGGTAATTTCGATGTCAAAGCTGCACCAGAATTGGTGGAAATGGCAAGGAATCATCTACCACGAGCTGCTCCCTATGGCCAAACGCTCAATTCGGCTCTCTACTGCCCACAAATGGACCGCTTGAAGGCAGAGAAGCCATCTTTGATAAACAAAGGCCGAATTATGTTCCATCAGGTCAACGCCAGGCCACACACGTCTTTGGTGACGCGCCAGAAGTTCCAGGAGCTCGGATGGGAGGTCCTAATGCACTCATCTTATAGTTTGGACCTGGCGCCAAGTGATTATCTTCTTTTCCTGTCCATGGCGAATGCGCTTAATGTGAGAAGTTGGCCTCAAGAGAGGCCTGTGAGAATTTGCTCTCCGAGTTTTTTGCCAATAGGGACGCAGCCTTCCACGAGAGGGGTATAATGAAGTTGACATCTCGATGGCAACTAGTTTACGAATATTTTGAAAAGTCATAAAAAACCGAATGAACTTTTTACTTGACATAATAATTATAAATTACTTGTGGACCTGGAGGAGATCTACGAGAGTAAAAAAAAATTACAGGGAATTAAAATATAAATGTAATTGCTATATGGTAAGGAGCCGTGGACGATAAAAGCATCTGATGCTTTCGAAATAAACGTGTTGCCGAAGATTTATGGCGTGTACCGCATCGGATGGTACGATGTGCTGCTGGGAATGGATAAGAGTACTCTAGCTTTGAAAGTATTGGATGAGTGCATAAGTTCGTGCCCGATTCCGCTGGATGCCGTTCGAAT